CCCAAGAGTTCTGCTTTAAAAATTGCTAACAAGTAGCTGTGTAGGCACATGCTGCCTGCTTACATAGCAGCAGAGGGAAGAGGCAGGAGCAGGGGCTGCTACAGACAAGAACTGACACTTCCAGGAAGTAATCAGATTCCTGCAAAATTTACAGGGGTCACAGGTCACAACTACAAGTGCTAATTACCCTTCACTGCCTCTAGATTTAACTTGAAAATGAAGCCCAGCAAATTTAGTAAATCAACCCCATTGCCCAAAACACTTGTTGCACATGTAAGTGGAAGGGGGGACTTAAAGTGACATTAAACCCTCAGATTTTTTAACATAAACCAATACTGTAATGTGTGCCTTGCTGTAATCCATGGTTGTTTCCCTTCTCTTTGCTGCTCTTCCTTTTAAATCTATATCTCTTCTCATGTTGGGCAGAACTTCTGTTTTGCAGCAGACTGCCTTGTCTCAGGAATGGATACACGGTGTCTGTGTATCTGTTTGTATGGGCTTGAAACCTGAGCCAGCACTACAGGAAGAGGCCCTGAGCTGAAAAGGGAAGTTCTACCCAAGCTGCACAATACCACCAGCTATGCGGGACTACAAGTCCCAGCAATACATTATAATAAAAGTAAGGTATGCAGAATACCACCAGCATCCAACCCCCCCCCACCCTATAATGCATTGCTGGGACTTGTAGTCCTACATAGTTGGTGCTATTCTGCATTGCTGTGTAATCATCATACAGCAATGCAGATTACCACCAGCTGTGCTAGACTACAAGTCCCAGCAACACACACACTCTCTCTCTCTCTTCCCAGCGCCCCCTCCCACTCCAAACTTACCTTCCCTCTCCTGCAGGCCCATGGCCCTCTTCCTCGTCTTGGAGGCCAGGGGGCGGAGCTAAGAGATGACCCTCTTAGCTCCGCCCCTAAGAGGCGGGATCAGCTCATTCTCTGGGATCAGTGACAGCGTCTCCAGCCCTTTCGCACAGCCGCCCGTACATGCTGCGGGTGGCTGTGCGACAGGGAAGGAGCGGCACGATCGCGGGGGGGCCCTCTACTTCCTTGCTGGGCCCCCCTAAGTGGCGGAACGCCAGGGCCCGGTCGCAATTGCGACCGCTGCAACCCTGGTAGTTCCACCAGTGCCTGTAGGATCTGCAGTACCTGCTACATAAGTTTGTATACTTGCTGTCATTAAAATTAATTGTAAGAATGTACAATTGTAACTCCTGTGTGCACATGGGGAATACGTCATCCTAGGCAGCTCAATTATCGAACAGAATGATGGGGGACCCAGAACAAGCAGCGGAGAATATGGCGGCGGTGGTGAGCTGCGCGGCAACTGACAGCATAGATCATTCAGAGGTGGAGAGCGCAGTTGTCGGGTAGGTGCGCCATAATGTGCAAGTATGCTGTGCATGCTTGCGCAATATGGCAAAAGTTAATCTTTTTCTTAGCAGCTTTATTTCTGCTTTACGGCAATACGTTTTTGCAAAAGAAGATTGGATGCCTTGAAGTCTGTATGTCACCATCAGTGGGTCAGTGAGTGCAGCTATGGGTCAGGTCACAAGCAGGGAAGGCAAGTAGTCTTGTTAAAATTCGGCAGTTTTTTTCTGGGGTCATTGCTACGCCTGAAATCTTAAATAAGAACTCCAGGGGGAAAAAAGTCCTTGTTTGTGTCTGTAAAAAATAATAATAATTATACCTACCAGAACCTAGGATCTGGACGGCTGGGACAGTGCTCCCGCCAGCCTCCTCTGATCCCGATCTCCTCCTCTGCTGCAGCAATGGTATGTCCCTTGGCATCCTCACGTCCTATGCACTGTATAGAAAATGATGACTCGAAGATCCTTAGAGGGGAAGCATAGCAGAAGGGACCGGTCCAAGAGCTGCCCAGCACCGTGGATCGGGTGCAGATATATATTTATTTCCTTTTTTATTTTTAACCTAGACACACACCAGCAT